TGGGGTCAGCCTTGACCCTTTGACCCCACCCAGACCCATGGGTCAGCAGAAGGTCCAGGTGGCCACTGTGGACCGTGACCCACGAGCCAAAGCGACCCTTGGACACCCTTTGGGGTCAACCTTGACCCCACCCATCCCTACGGGTCACCAGAAACTCCCAGTGGCCACATTGGCCACTCTTTGACCACTGAGACCCCCTGGGGACCCCTGTTGGTCCCTGGTGGTCCCTGTTGACCCCTGGTGTCCCTGGTGGTCCCTGGTGGCCCCTGGTGACTCCTGTTGGCCCCTGTTGACCCCTGGTGGCCCCTGGTGGCCCCCATTGGCCCTTGGTGTCCCTGCTGACCCCTGGTGGTCCCTGTTGACCCCCGTTGGCCCCTGGTGGCCCTCACTGAGCCCCGCTGGCCGCCCAGGTCGGTGGCCGAGGCGCTGAAGATGGGCACGCCGGTGGAGCCCGAGTACTTTGAGGAGGTGACGCTCTACTTCAGCGACATCGTGGGCTTCACCACCATCTCGGCCATGAGCGAGCCCATCGAGGTGGTCGACCTCCTCAACGACCTCTACACGCTCTTCGACGCCATCATCGGCTCCCACGACGTCTACAAGGTGGCCACGGCCGGGGGGGGAGTCACTCGGTCAGGGGTGGGGTCAGTGGTGGCTACAAGGTGGTCACAACGGTGGCCACGGCCGGGGGGGGTCACTCGGTCAGGGGCAGGGTCAGTGGTGGCTACAAGGTGACCACAACGGTGGCCACGGCCAGGGGGGGTCACTCGGTCGTGGGTGGTCAGTCGGCATGGGTGGGGTTGGGGTCAGTGATGGCTACAAGGTGACCGCGGTGGTGGCCATGGCCATGGGGTGGTCACTCGGCCATGGGTGGGGTCAGTGATGGCTACAAGGTGACCACAACGGTGGCCATCAGGTGGTCACTCAGTCATGGGGTTGTGGGTGGTCACCTCAGGAAGGAGTTGGGCTCAGTGGTGGCTACAAAGTGGTGGCCACGCTCAAGGTGGCCCCATGGTGGTCCAAGCCACGGTCATGGCATTGGCCACCAAGAAGGGCCGTGGCCACCAAATGCAGATTCCTGGTGGAATCCCAGACTTTGGCCACCAAGAAAGGCCGTGGCCACCAAATGCAGATCCCTGGTGGCCCCCGCAGTCTTTGGTGGCACGTACAATGCCACGCTCGAGGTGGCCCCACGGTGGCCCAACCCACGCTCTTGGCTACGGCCGCCGCGCCGAGACCACCCTGAGGCCGTGGGCGTGTCCCGGTGGGCGTGGCCACCCCCTTGACCCGCCCCCTTCCCGGCCAGGTGGAGACCATCGGCGACGCCTACATGGTGGCCTCGGGCTTGCCCAAGCGCAACGGCAACCGGCACGCGGGCGAGATCGCCAACATGTCGCTGGACATCCTGAGCTCCGTGGGCACCTTCAAGATGCGCCACATGCCCGAGGTGCCCGTGCGCATCCGCATCGGCCTGCACTCAGGTACGGCCACGCCCCGCCCTCCTATTGGCCGGCCCGGACACGCCCGGGCCACGCCCCCCCCGGCCACGCCCAAGAATTGTCGCCATGCGTTGGTCAAAGGTCGGCCAACGTTGGCCAACGGTCAATGGGTGCTGTTGGGTGGGGTGTTGGCCACGCCCATGAGCGCCCCCATTGGTCACGGCCGTAAAGGCCACGCCCACC